TTCAGTTTCTCCTCTCTCTCCCCCTTCCTCCACCTCCTCCTCTTCCTCCTTCCTCTCTCTCTCTCTCTCTGGCTGTCTCTTTCTCCCTCTTCCTCTCTCTCCCTCTTCCTATCTCTCTAAGGTCTATAACCATATCCTCAGGAGAAGATTAAAAACAACAAGACTTCGAGATTATCCGCTGAATTTTATTTTTCTTTTCCACTCACAAAAATTAAAATACTATGAGGTGAGGATTTAAAAAAAAACAAGACTTCGAGATTACCCACTGAATTTTATTTTTCTTTTCCATTTACAGAAATTAAAATAATGAGTGATCAAATAATGCCTGAATATCTCTTGAAGTTCTGTTCTTTTATTTGTGTTGTATATCAACATATGGTAATGTTTGGGAAGAGGAGAAACTTTATTATGCTATTATCTTTATTATTTAATGATTATTTGGCTCCCAGAAAGGGAGTCTGATACTGCTCATCTCAGTGGGTCTCATCAGCTCCCTGGAGATTTGTGGGAAGTAACTACAAGCCCCTCCCTTATTCTTAGCAAGTAATGAGTTCTGGCTCGCTGACAAGTTCCAGTGCCAGTACAGTCTTATAGAAAGATTTGAGAATCTTAAAGCCTGGGTTCAAGTTCAAGTTCAATCATTTACTAGCTGTATGTCCTTGAACAACCTCTCTAATACCCCATGGAGTTGGGATGTTAATGGGCCTCTTATTTTTTCTTTGTAGGATTATTATTATCCTTCATAAAATGACTGAAAATGAGTTTAAACCACTAAAGCATTAGATCACTTAGTATTATGGCAGACTTATTGATATTATAAAAATTATTCATAATAGGGCCCAGGCTGGGATAATGAGATCATAAATAATACTTTGTGAGAACAGGTTAATTTTCATCAACAACCCTCTTTCATAGAGCCAAACAATAGATATCACTCTTCTTTTCATTAGAAAAAAAATCCGATGACTAAAAAAAATATCCAGTTGCTTTTTCCTTGCATTATGTTAACATAAAAACTCTTTCAAACTTAAAGTTCTAAAAAGCAAGATTCCTTCCAAAGGGTCTCTACTTCCTTTGCCCCATGGGTTTGAGACTATGAGAGCAGATCCTACACAGTTTACTTTCACACTAACAAAGAAATCCAGATAGTGTGATGAACTGTGGTTGTTGAAAATATAATTCAAGATAATACTGAACGGTTCAGGACTCCGGTGCCTGACTGCTGCTGTTCAAATCCACACTAGGTTCATGACTGTGAATAAGTAACCGACTTCTTAGTACCCCAGTTTCCTCATCTATAAAATGGAAATAATAATCACTTTGTCATAGGCCTTTTTGGAAAATTAAATAAGTTAATATATGTAAAGTGCTTAGAATTGTTTAGCACATAATAAACATCACATAAATGTTAGCTGTCGTCATCGTCATCATCTTCAACATGGACAGCACGTTTTCTCTGAGTGCGCCCCTCAGTCATGCACAGTTTTCTCCAGCATAGGTCCAATGTCCCCATTCTGTGCTCCCACTGCACCCTGTGCCTGCTAGTTTCGTAGCATCTTTGTGTTCACAGTATCCCAATGCCTGCCATAGTCCTTATTCCAGGAGTATGCTGGTAAGCAGCTCTCTAAATATAAAAGCTCTGATTTGTAGCGTTTACTGATTTCTGCAGCATAAATACTCCACCGTGGCTGATGTCAGGCTACCAGTGTTTTAATAACTGGTCTGCCAAATTCCCAGGTGTTAAACAGTCAGCTTTCACGCCCCTGTCTGAGCTGGCTCCAGCACACTGCTGCCTAATGCTTGGGCACTCAGTCCATGAACAGGTTAATCAGTCAGACTGGCTGCCGCATCAGGTAGCACTCGACATTCCACAAAAGATAATGAAATGGCAAAATGAAGAAAGAAATGTGTGGGTGTAAAACAGTGCACTAGAGGTAGTGCCTCGTTTTAAATTCTGATTTTCCCGGGCACAGAGACATCAAATCAAAGAAATGAAACCCACAACCCTTGTAGAATCTAGTTTCCATGATAGGATTCAAAAGTTCCTTATTTCCAGACAGTTCCCCCTTGCCCCTCCCTTGCCCCCTACTACTTTTGCTATAGTTTTATTTGAGCAATTGCCACAATCATGCCAAAGAGGAGCTGAGAAAGGAGGAGTTTTATCTGAGCTGACCCGCCTTGCCTTAGATTCCCCCTTCTTGACTTCCTTTCTTTATCATCACTGACAAGCTTTCCAGAGTCTTGTATTGCAGCTGCCCCACCCCTCCTATCAGTCTGAAAAGGAATCTAATTCACCCTCACAAGTTACTCTACCTCTAAATGTCATGCCCTCCTGGCTAAGGAGTAGCCAGGTGACACAAAGAAGCATTTTTCCCAATCCCAACAGCTTTCAGCAATCCTCAGTTACATTTAAGTGAATGACTTTCCAAATTGGAAAAGAGTAATTCCAAATCAGTCTAATTTGAAGCAAGCATATCTCAGATCACTGCACCTGCCCATAGAGTTTAGGCTGGTCATTGTCGGACACAGTTTGCATCAATAATGGCCTTTCCTTATAAGTTAGCACCTTTGAATTTCATTGGTATTGCATTTAAGAGTGTCCCTCTCTGAACCTTTGTCTCTGGCCCTCCGTGTTTCTTGGTGCCACAGAGGCTGGGGCTACAGAGTTCCCTCCTATTAAAAATGTAAAGAGTTCTCTCTTGCCAACTGCTCCTGCCTCCTGAAAATGGTCTTTCTCTCTCTGAACCTGTGAACACTTGCACATAATCATAATGTCCTATACAAGAGAAGAGTTCTCTGCAGAGTGGATTCAGTAAAATGTTCATTAGTGTATGCACTATTTCAATCTATAGATGATTAAATATCTTATACCTATAAGAGCTCAATCTACAACGTCCCACCATCAGTTACTGACCACTTGGGGAACAGAGATGAGCCCAAGAGCCCTTCAAATATGAGTGAGGATGGTAATTTACAGTATTCACAAAAGAAGTAAATATACTGTGCTCATTGAATGCTGAGACCCACAACCACCCTTCCTCTTCCACCCAGTCCCCTGAATATTAGAAATCAGGCCTCTGAGAGCAATTACCAGAAAAATCGACTGACTCAAAGGAACTGACACACAATAATGGTTAAAAAGCCCCACTCAAGTGCTTAGAAATTTCAATCAGATTTCTAGTTTTTATCACCCCAATATGAGCTGATAAGCCAGGATTACCAGACAAGGAAGAAAATCCTCTAATTTGGAAGATGGAATGTATTAAGGTTCTCCAGAGAAGCAGAACCAATAAGATGGATGGATGGATGGATGGATGGATGGATGGATGGATGGATTTTAAGAAATTGGCTCACAGGATTGTTGGGGCTGGCAAGCATGAAATCTATAGGGCTGGCCCGCAGGCTGGAAATTTGTGTAAGAGTTAATTCTGCAGTCTTGAATTTGAAATTCTCAAAGCTGGAAACTCAGGTAAGATTTCTATGTTGCAGTCTTGAAGCAGAATTCCTTCTTCTTAGGATTTTCAACTGAATGGACAAGACCCACCCACATTATGGAGGGTAATCTGTGTTACTTAAAGTCAATTGATCATAAATGTTAATCACATCCACAAACACCCTCACAGCAACATCTGAAGTAGCATTTGAGCATTTGACCAACAACTGGGCATTGATAGCCTGGTCAGTCTGACAAAAAATTTACCATCACAGAGACCAAAACACAGAAGCAGAGAAAAGCAACTTGGAGGAAACTATGCGGGGAGAAAACTTCATTAAAATATGATTAATATTTTCCTGCCCATGCGATGCAGTTGGTAGGAGTGCCGTCCCATACAACAAAAGATTGCGTATTTGATTCCCGGTCAGGGCACATACCTAGGTTGTGAGTTTGATCCTCAGTTGCAGCACATATGGGAGGCAACTGATCAATGTTTCTCCCCAACTTCTCTCTCTCGCCCCTTCCCCTCTCTCTAAAATTAATGAACATATCCTTAGGTGAGGATTAAAATATATTATAAATATCTACAGAGAGATAAGAGAAAATATGGCAACCATGAAGTAGGAGCAGAGTGTATTATGTTTTAAAAAAAAAAATCTCAGCAAACAAAGAGCTCTTGGAAAATGGCAACATAAATGAAAATCTCACAAAAGTTTCAAAAGTTGAGAAACTCAGAAAATAAAGCAATAATGCATAGGGATATAGTATAAGAAAAAAATAAAATTCAAGGAAGATCCAAAAAATCTGAGATTCAAACCACAAAAGTTCTATAAAGACAGAACAGAGAAAACAAAGGAAAGGAAATCATCAATGAAATAAAATTTTCCCCAGATTGCAAGGACCCACTGAGTACCCGGCACTATTGAAATAGCCCATACTAAAGTACATCACAGTGAAATCTCAGAAAACTGGGGGCAACAGAAGAAACTCCAAGCCATTAGGAAGAGAAACCAGGTCACATATAAACTTGAGGAAACAGAACAACTTTGGATTTCTCAAAAGTAACTTGGAAGGAAATGCTTATAATTCCATACACTAACTATCAAAAAAGGTATAAGAGTGGACAAAAGGTATGTCCAGCTATGCAAGGTCTCATAACATTTACCTTATATAAACAAACCACTTTTCAAGAAGCTACCGTAGAATGTGTTCTAATGACATGAGCATGATACCTATGATAAAGCATCTCCCTCCTCATCCTCGTCTCTGTTCTTGAAATCTTGGGTGTTCCTTCAGAGCCTCTTACCATTCCCACTATTATTCATGTATGTAATTAATTAGGTGAATTTTTGTGGACTAGTGGGAGATCCAAATTATTACCTGCCATTTTTGTGAAAAGCTGTGTTCCAAGTTCAAAATAACCAATTCACTAATCATCTTTGGAAGTCGGGATCTGCCTTTGATTTTGTTCAGAAGGAATGAGGAGGACGTGTAATAACTGAGTCAGTGTATTTTGAGCATTACCAGCAGCACCCATGGCTCATGAAGTCCTCTGTTTCTCCAGGCTATCAATGTACCTGCCTCTCACAGTTCACCGGGAGAAACTGTGAATCCGAGATCACAGCCTGCTTCCCAAACCCTTGCCGGAATGGAGGCTCCTGCGACCCCATAGGAAATACTTTCATCTGCAATTGCAAAGCTGGGCTCACTGGAGTCACGTAAGTGAGATTGTTCAAGTCATTATGATGTTTCTTGCTGCTAAGAAAACAAAACAGTAGACAACTACCTGGGATGAAATATTAAGCACTAATAGGAGGGGCAAAGAGTTAATATCTTTATATGAGGAGTGCTTACAAGTGGCTAAAATGTTAACAGGGTTTATCTCTAGGTAATGGGGTTATGGGTAATTTATACACTTTATACTTCTCTATGTTTTCAAATTCTTATATAATTACTGTGAGTCCTATAAGCAAGAAAACGATTCTTTTAAAGAAAGTCATCTCTGCCCCCTAATATTTCCAGTGTAATTCTGAGGCAGACATAGTATCCATTTCCCCAGAACTCATTAGCTGGACTTTGCTGCTTAACATTTTATGATCATTCTGAGAAACTAAAGCTTACCTTTCCTTTGCAACTCCCCTTCCCACGAAACAGGGAGATTAAAGTGTTAGACGAATGAAAAGGGAATATTGTAAGTTTTTAGTAAAGTGTCACTTTCATCCATCCTGGATGGCTTTAAAAGTATATATATGTAATCTCAAGCAAGTGATATTCTAATTACAGATCAGTCTCATGTATTCATTAAAGCAAATCTCCCGAGGACTTTACCAGGAAATACTTAACCAACTTTGAATCATTGGATGTAATTTAAAGCAATAAAGCTGCATTTATTTTTAAATACTCTGTGTTTCTGACTAATTTCCAACTGACCTGGTTTCAATCTGTTCAAATTAGGGACATTTGACTACATTTTACAAAGTGGATTACCAAAAATATAAGTAGGTGATGGGGCCTTTTAAGTGAACATAGCAGAACAATTGCTGAAGTAGAGAAAAGTGAAAGGAAAATGGTCTGTGTGCTCAAATAATTTTAAACTAAGAAATAGTTACACTTAAATGTTTGCCTTATGATTATACTCAACGCAAGTCATGGATTGCTTTAAAGAGAATAAAATTAATTTAATTATTTTTCACTAGAATGCTTTAATCGTTCTTTTCCTGGTAATCTGCATTAGCATTAGCTTTTAATATAAGCATAGAATGTGTAAGATATGGAGCTATGTAGACACCTCCATGCTCATACCCACCTCTGTACATCCTGTTACCCAAAAATTACTGTAACCATTACAGGAAAATGTCAAAACTAACGACTTCCTCCTCTCGGGAAACTCTTTACAGGATATGTAATTTTACAGATCTTTATCTGCAATTCTACAAAACCCCAAAGCTCCACGAACTGACAGGACTGAGGATAAATTAATGGCAAGCTATTCTGGTGCCCAAAACAGCCAAAGCCACTCTAAGGCTATTTCTAAGTCTTTGTTTCTTTCATTGAGTGTGAATATCTAAATGTTCTACCGTTGAAACACTGGTATATTGATTATGGGTCCTATATCAGCACCAATTCCTGGGGTGAGGTGGGTATTTTACATAATATTAAAGGTATATACTGTGTGCCATTTTTAAAATTGCAAAATTTTAAATTCTGAAATGCGTCTGGCCCCCAGGATTTGTAAACCAGTACCTCTTCAGCAGCATCTGTTCACCTGTTTCTTTCTCTTTCTGCTCCTTCTCTTCTCTCCCAAGCTGGCCAGTTGCATGCTCCCACCAGGGTAGGGTCAGACTATCTGGCAGAGGCTGGGTGGGAGAAACATCTTACTGCATGCCGGAGACTCCGGCCGCCTGCTGCTCACACGCACCACCATGCCATTTTCGTGGTACTTCATGTACCCTTTAGGTGTTTTATTTATTTATTTATTCATTCATTCATTCATTCATTTTTAAAGAAGTCAGTTTTAAATCGAGCTCCAGTAAAAAGGCCTGTGTGGTCAGGCCTGCTGTTTGAAAGCGGACTATGTGTCTTTGGTCCTGAAGGTGTGAAGAGGACATCAACGAATGCGAGCGAGAGGAGTGTGAGAACGGGGGCTCCTGCGTCAACGTGTTTGGCTCCTTTCTGTGTAACTGCACCCCGGGCTTCGTGGGCCAGTACTGCGGGCTGCGCCCCGTGGTGGTGCCCAACATCCAGGCTGGCCACTCCTACGTGGGGAAGGAGGAGCTCATCGGCATTGCAGTGGTCCTCTTCATCATCTTCATCTTGGTGGTCCTCTTCATTGTCTTCCGCAAGAAAGTTTTCCGCAAGAACTACTCTCGCAACAACATCACCCTGGTGCAGGACCCCGCCACGGCCGCCCTGCTAAACAAAAGCAACGGCATCCCATTCCGGAACCTGCGGGGCGGCGGGGACGGCCGCAACGTCTACCAGGAGGTGGGGCCCCCGCAGGTGCCCGTGCGCCCCATGGCCTACACCCCGTGCTTCCAGAGCGACTCCAGGAGCAACCTGGATAAGATCGTTGACGGACTGGGCAGCGAGCACCAGGAGATGACAACCTTCCACCCTGAGTCCCCACGCATCCTGACAGCCAGGCGGGGTGTGGTCGTGTGCAGTGTGGCCCCCAACCTCCCAGCCGTGTCACCCTGCCGCTCTGACTGCGACTCTATCCGGAAGAATGGCTGGGATGCAGGAACTGAGAGTGAGTAGGAATCACTATGTATTTCTCTGTCATTTTCGGGGAAGCCTCGAGGGGGCAGGGGGCACTTGAGAAGGGAATTAGGCAAGGAAGAGAGAACCCGCAGGGACAGAGCACACATTATGACATGTTGTGGCATTGAGTGTTCACATACCAGCCCTGAAAAATCTCTCTGGGTCTTGTCCCCATTTTCAGATGGGGAAAATGAGGCTCAGAGAGCATCATATAAGGTGCCCATGGTCACAAAGCTAATAAGAGTCTTTTTATTTATTTATTTATTTATTTATTTATTTATTTATTTATTTATTTTAACCTTGTTTTTATTCTTGACACTATTACAGGTGTTCCCATTTTCTCCCCCTTTGCCCACCTCCACCCAGTCCCGGCCACCCCCTCTTCCTTCTGACCATCATCACACTCCAGTCTGTGTCTGTGGGTTATGCATATATGTCCCTTGGCTGATTTTGGGTGGGGAGGACTGGAGGAGAAACACGTTTTTCATCCAATCCTCCCCGCCCCGCCCCCCGATAGCTGTCAGTCTGTTTCATAGTAAAAGCTAACAAGAGGTTCTCCAGTCCAGCGTTGCCAAACTCTAAAGCCCATGTTCTTCTCAAAACAGCACACCATTGGCAGTAAAGTAGGCAGTGTAGCTACATAAGTGATACACAGAAAGTGTGCTCGGGAAGGACAGGAGAAGAGAGTATTTCCAGTATTATAGACTGAAGACTTGAGAAGAGCAGAAAGGCATTTCAGCTGGATCATGGTGGGATAATAAGTCTGGAGAAAGGAGGGCATTCCACGTAGAAGGACCCACATGGTAGAAGAAAAGCAAGTTGTTCTATCTGGCTGCAAAGCAGGGTCCATGGAACAAGAGGGTGAACTGCAGGCAGGAAAAATGGTCTGGGCCAGATGGTGGTGATTCCCACTCCGTTGGCTCCATGCATCAGGATTCTAGACAAAGGGAAGAGCCACAAGTACAAAGGCCCTGGGGCAGGAAAGACCTTCACATGTTGAAGACCACAGAGGAGATCAATGTGATTGGAGCTTGTTGAGCACCAGAAGAGAATGGCTACATTTTTAACAGCAAGGCTAGTGTGGGTTTTAAAGCAGGTGAGTGCCCTAATCTAATTTGCATTGAAAGAAGATGGCTGTGTTCCTTGGAGAAGAGACTAAACACAATCAAAGAAAGAAGAAAGCAGAGAGACTAGTTAGATGTTGTCTGTGAACATCTAGGTGAGAGATGTGTTTGTTGCCCCTGCCCTAACATCAGTTGGGATGAAACTAAGACGAGCTCTGTTGTAACCTGAGACTTTCATCAGGCCGAATAGCTTTCTGTTTGAGAAACAGGGATGCCCTGGGTATATTATGATATATGTTGGTGTAGAGGGTAGGTGAGAGGCAGATTTCAAATGAAGCTAAAGAGCCTATGTAGCCAAGGAGATAATGGGTGCCTTCATTGAGGAAGGGGGCATTCCTACTGGTGTCTGTAAGCATGAGTAAAATTTGGGTACGACGCTGTTGAAAAAGGCCTTCCAGAAGCAGGAAGTATCTGGATCACTGGAGAGAGCACATGAGGGTTTTCTGACTATGTTTTTCTGGAAAGTATTTATATTTTAAGACAATGCCTTTGGACTTGCACCAATAAATATATTCTCTCTCAAATCATCTGTGAAGTTAGACTTTACTAAAGCCTTGCCAATCCACTGGCTAAAGGAAAGGCTCTTTTTTTTTTAATTTAACAATGAAAAAAATGGGGTTTGAATGAATGGAGGAATGGAGGAAGCAGTTTTATGCACAGCACTATATTCACCAGCACAGGCCATTTGTCAATTTTCCCCCTTGTGTTCAGGCCTGAGCCTGGTGCCCACTTAGTGCTTTTCCAAGGCACGTCATCCTATTTGCTGTGGTGTGGCTGTTGGGAGGCAAATTCCTCCGTGATGTCCCTCTCCATTTAGATCAGTTATTTATCCAACTCATCATTTTGCCATGTCTTTAGCATCTGACAGCAGATGCAGAGCCACTGCCCGCTACTGACAGCACCCATAGTGGAAGAAACAGGGATTTCTCCAGCCACAAACAGGAACAACTTTTCTCTTAATCACAAGTCACCGTTTTTGTTTTTGTTTTTTTACATACCGTCACATTACATGATGATTTGAAGCTTTTCCTAGTGATCTTTTCCCTCCACCCACTGGTAATGTGACAGACAGCTTTATTCCTGGAATCTACCTCAAGCCCAAACACGCATTTTCTCCCAAAGTATTACTGGGTTTTTATTGAATACATTTCCTTCTTTGTTAAGCAAGGCAGTTAGCCGGAGAGGCAGTCTCTAGGTGGCTAATTCATTTTGCACTTGACAGTTTCAAGATATGGGTTGTTTTCATTGCTTCCTTTAGTCCATCAAATAAGAAACAAGAAGGTAGCCCTGGAGGGGGGGAGGTGGTTCAGGCTGCGTTTGTATCTTTGTATAGCAAAGAGGGAGTACGCGTGTGGGTAAGAGCGTGCCTGTGCTGTACCGCTGCCTCTCACCTGAGCGCAGAACGCTGTCATTCCCAAAAGTGGGGCGACACTGCCCTCTAGAAGGCAGTGCTGAGAACTCCACTCACTCCCCGGAGATGGAAGTTAGGATAAATGTAATGGCATTCTTGCCTATAAAATATTTATACCCCTATTTGAAAAGTAATCTCATTTAACCCGGTGTTGACACCACATCGGTTCATGTAAATGATTTAAATGAACTCTGAATGGCAAAGAGCAACCCAGACACTTCATCCTCGTTTCACTCTTCACTTAGGCTTCACTTTGAGGAGGGAACTGCTACTTTCGGCTGTCAGCTATTTGGAAGCTCATTTACCACGGGTTAAGGGTTTTGTATCCATAATGTAAATCACTTGATTGACAGAGGGACCTTTGCCCCCAGTGGCACAATCAATTCTCCATTGTGGAGCTAAATTATTTTCTCTGAGCAAATGAAAGAGCTCCAAGAAGTGGACTCTGGGGTGGCAGGACTGGAAATACGCACAAGGTAACACAGTGTCATTTCTGCTTTTTCTCTGGCTGTCCACGAAGACAAAGGAGTCGATGACCCAGGAGAAGTGACCTGCTTTGCAGGCAGTAATAAAGGCAGCAACTCTGAAGTTCAGTCCCTGAGCTCCTTCCAATCAGATTCTGGCGACGACAATGGTAAGAAGTCATGGATTTGATCTCCCGGGGTGGCGTCTGCCTCCTACGCCGGCAGGCAGTGGTTGAGAGGAAGGTGATGTGACCAGTTTTGTTTCCTGACCCGATCAAGGGCTTTTGCGTGTGTTCACCAGCTTTTTGTGTGGCTCCATTGTTGGGTGTCATTGCTGCAGGGGTGTCTATTGAGCTGCAGCTGTGGGCAAGCCCAGGGATCTGTGTCACAGGCTGACAAGGTTCCCCTGGGCCTCCAGTAATGTGTCGTCTTTGATTTGGTTCACGATGGAACTGCCTTATCCCAACTAATATTCTCTAGCTAACAGTGCTGTTTATATCTTTTAAAAACATTTTATTAATGATTGTCTCTTCACTCTCTATCCAGCCTCCATATCATTAGAAATAAGTTCAGAGGCAATACTGCCTTCCCATAGAACTGACATCTTCATTCAGTTAAATCCCCCTTATGATCATTTGGGGTCATGGGCCTCTGAAGAATCTATTGAATACTACGGATCAGCTCCTTACAAAAATGCACATATACCCAAAATGCTGCATGCAGTTCTATGTGGTTCATGGACCTCTCCCCCTTGTGATCTATGCTAATGAAGAGGTCGCTGGACTGGATTTCCAGAGCTGAGGAACCAGCTTTGGAGGATGGGTTGGCCTCCTCAGGGCAGGGGAGAATAGCAGAAACGGTCATGAGACAGCAAGAGCGGTGAACCAAGAATAATATCAAATTGTCATCCACAGAGACAGTTAGCCTTCCTATGTGTCATTTTCCCATTTAAAAGCCATTGGCAGAAATTGAATATTTATTTACTTATATAATCATTCAACCCGTAAATCCTTGTTGAGTTTCTTCTGTGTGTTGAACCCAGTGCTGGACATGTTGTACCCAGAAGCACAAAATGAAAACAGCATTACCTTTGCCCACAGGTAAACAGAGAAGCAGGTGAGCTCGAAGGCCATGGCAATCCTGGCAGTACAATAGTCCACTTTCCCCATCCCCACTCCCGGATCACTTCCTTCCCTGAGACCTAGTACTCCTGAGAGGTGCAGAAGCCACAGTGTACCTGACAGCTGGGGTAATAAACCCTATTACAGTGGATTTCTCCTGACCATTTTCAGAAGGTCAGGGGCACACCTCCAGCTGTTTGCCTCGGCACTCACTCCTTTTCTCATCCCCAACCAAAAGAAAAGTTGCCACTGGTTTGAGTTTTGTAGAGAAGCAACCGAGAACAGATAGTTTCCAAACTCCAGGCAGCAGCTCCAGCAGTGACGTGGGCTGGCTATTCTCATGGGCTCTGCTCTGTGTACCCTAACACACTCAGCCTTACATGCTTAGCATTCTGGATTGGTCCTGGCTAAAGTAGGCAGTGTTAGGAGCTTTCAGCAAATTAGTTTTAAACCTGATCACCTCTCCACGAGCTGCTGGTATCAGGTGCTAAGTCAGTTCACACAGAGCACAGAAATCACCTTCTCAGATTCTAACAATTCCAGAGGCCAAAAGCTGCCGTCCGTCTGTCTATATTTTACTGGTGAAAGTTGGGCCTTGGGTCATTCTAGGCTATGGTTGGTGTCATGTGAGTGTGAAACCATGAGTCCTGAAGGGTATCCTCCATCAATCATGGCATTTGGTTTGGAGCAGCATAGCTGACCAACAAAGAATTCTCTTCGGGAATAGTGAGGTGTTCCTGGAAGGGGTATCCAACCTTTTGGCTTCTCTGGGCCACACTGGAAGAAGGAGAGTTGTCTTGGGCCACATATTAAATACATAAACACTGACAAAAAGAAGAAAAAAAAACTTCATAATGTTTTAAGTGAATTTACAGTTTTGTGTGGGGCTGCATTCCTGCCACCTCGGGCCACATGGGTTGGGCACCCTTGCTGTAGAGCCTTTGGGAGTTGCTAATGAGGAGTCAGCATGAGCTTGATGAGCCGCTGCCTTCCTAGACTGATGTCACTGGGCCATGAAGTGTGAATTTATGACCCAGCCATCCCTGCCCATCATGCCTTTCAGGAGGCCTGGCCCCAGATTTGCTCCCATTTCCCTTCTGTTCCCAGAACCCTGAGACCTTAGAAAAAAGTGTCCACTGGATCACTGCCTAAGGGACGGCTGCAGGAAGCTCTGGGTGTTTGCATGCTGCGCCTTTGTTGTTGTCATTATTGTTAAGAAAAGTTAACAGATGTTTGAAATACATAACTAACCTAAAGCTGTCCTCCCCCTCCCTCCTGTCTTCTTTTCCTCGCCACAAGCATCCATAGTGACTGTCATTCAGCTTGTCAACAATGTAGTTGACACTATAGAAAATGAAGGTATTTACTTTTTTCTTCCATGGCATTTCTTTGTGTAAAGACTCATGCTTTTGGAAATATAGCCTCCTTGTTACTTTGAACTAAGGGTGATTTAAATCAGCTGACAACTGGGAGGGGCAGTAAAGAGACAGGTTCAAAGGAGACACTGGATGTTTCTCTAGGTATTGGGGTGAATTTAAAAGTTTAGGAAAAAAATCTAGTTCATCTTTTTTTAAGTATGTGGGATGCCCTTTTTATGAAATTTCTTCCAAGAGAATACCCAATTACTTGGAATCCGGATTAATACTAAATTCATCCTTATATTCAACATGTATTCATTGAGCACCTTACATTAAACATGTATTCATTGAGCACTTACTATGACCTGATAATACTTCAGAAACCATTCCAAGTTACAATATAATGGGGATTGATTTCAATCAGGTAACAGATATTACTGACATAATAAAATTAGTGCCTGGTGTAGATGGGATTTATCTTTTTATTGCCTAAATAGCAATGGGGAGGAAAAGCAACATGTGTTTTAAGTCATCAAAAATGTTCTCTTTTGCCCTCTTCACGTGGCTTGGATTGTCAGTTTTACCTCTCACTTTGTATTTAAACAGTGTCTGTCATGGATCAAGGGCAGAACTACAACCGAGGTGACTCTGCTATACCCCCAGCATAGCATTTTACTTACATGTTTTCAATTGCTAAGTTTGTTCCTACTGTCCCTCTCCTTCCATTTATTCTGAGCTTCTTTGATCTGAATTTTGCATGTTTCAGGTGTCTTGTGAGCTTGGTATTGGCAGTGAGCGCCCTGCCCACATCCCTTCCCAGCCGCTCCCCTACTCGTGCAGTTCGTGCATCTGTGTGCACACCTCCCTGCCTTCTGTGGTGCACAGTACAGCTGATGCAGCTCTGTCTCTGCAAGCATGTTGCCAGCCTGACTCTGCACTTAGCCTATGGACAGGAAGAAAGAATGGGGGAGAAGGTCCTAGAACTGTGTTTCCTCAGCATGCCCTTGCTAGCCATCCCTTATGGCGTGGCTGAGCATAAGGTCCCGCAGCACCCAGGCGCCACCTCTCAGAGCTGCCATCACCTAGTTCTCCCAGGGCCAGAGCATGGCTGGCCCTTGATCCACCCTTGTAAGGAGCATGCACATGACTTGGCTTTTTAGGGTCTCTTGAATGTTAAATGCATGCCAGGTTCCTTCTCTGCTCTTTTCCAAACCCTCCCCAACTCCAGCCTTGAGGAAATTAACTGTTGTGGCTTTTTTACTCACAGCCTATCACTGGGACACCTCTGATTGGATGCCAGCGGCCCGCCTGTCGGACATTGAGGAGGTGCCCAACTTTGAGAACCAGGAGGGAGGGTCTGCACACCAGGGAAGCACGCGGGAGTTAGAGAGTGATTACTACCTGGGTGGCTACGATATCGACAGCGAGTACCCACCTCCTCATGAGGAGGAGTTCTTGAGTCAGGACCAGCTGCCCCCTCCCCTGCCAGAGGACTTCCCGGACCAGTACGAGACCCTGCCGCCCTCCCAGCCTGTCTCACTGGCCAGCACACTGAGCCCAGACTGCAGGAGAAGACCCCAGTTCCATCCCAGCCAGTACCTCCCACCTCACTCATTCCCCAATGAAGCGGATTTGGTGGGCCCACCTGCCGCCTGTGAATTTAGTACTTTTGCCGTGAATATGAACCAGGGCACGGAGACGGCAGGCCCAGCAGACAGTGTGTCTCTACCCTTGCACAATTCCAGAGGCACCTTATCCTCGGATGTGTCAGCCAACTGCGGCTTTGATGATGCAGAAGTAGCCATGAGTGACTACGAGAGCGTTGGGGAGCTCAGCCTCACCAGCCTTCACATTCCCTTTGTCGAGACTCAACACCAGACCCAAGTATAGAGGACGCGCCTCTGGCACTTTGCACTGTTTGCTACAGAAAGAGACTGGCTGGGCTAGTGTCTCCATGGAGAGTAGTGTGTTGAGCACAGAGGAAATGTGGTATTTTCCACTAGGAATTTCTTCACGAGTCACCCTGCTTCAAGCCAGCTTGACTCCAGTTGCGTGGAAAGAAAAGGCTCAGAAATTGTTTCTGAGAGGTGACTGATAACCCTTGAAGTATGTACCTGCGTTCAGGACCAAGAACGCTCACCAAGTTTTTAAGGGGGGAGTAAATTTCACCCCCTCGGTTACACAGTCAATCTTGTGTGGCTTTGTGCAGTATTGTGCCCTAGAAAGTGTTACAGCATCAGTCCTTGCAGTATTAATAACTGGCAATGAGCAAAGAGGCATGTAATATTGAGCTACTGGGGGAAACTGAAAATACTAGTTATCATCGTTGGAAAAGTTAGTCACTTAGGCAAAAGAAAGGAAAAGCAAATATTATGAAACAAACAAGAAAATGGGCTGAAGCCTTTAAAAATCAACTTTATTTTTTTTATAAGCTGCCCAATTTTCAGCTATAAAATTAGGTTTAGGTAACATGTTTAGTATGCTTAGTTATTTTTGTTTATTTGTGTTAAGCATCCAATATAATATAGTAGTTGGGTTTCACGATCTTTAAGAAAGGTGTAATGAAGAGGAATAAAAGGATATGTGGGTTCCATTTTGTGGGGTGGGGATGTTAATATTGTTCAAACATTAGAAAGAATGTGATTTTCTGTTTTCAGTTAACAGCCCTGGCTGCAACTACAGTTTTAATATTACTCCAGAAATTGGCCTTTGTTCAGAGAATCAGAAAATAAAAAGAAAGCAAGTAGTACTTTAGTACTTTGTTCTCTAGAATGAGAGATATCCAGAGGCTTAAGCAGAATCCATAAATTTAGAAAAAATAAAATAAAACATTTTCAAAGTTTTCAGCCAGATAATCACAATTCTTGATAATGCAAATAAAACCTGAGTATTGTTCAAAATTGATTAGCATCATCACTCTAAATGCAATTATGTTTTTTAAAAAGAAGAAAATAGATTAGTTCTTGTGTATAAATTATAATAGTGTGTGTGTCTGGGCCGACATACAAATATGTGCTTGCACTTAGTAAGGCTGCTCTTGAGGAACGCGGACGTGAGAGCTTTAGGCTGTGGACTGTGTTGAAAATCCTGCCTGCGAGGCAGACCTTCCAATTTCTCTAATCTCTCTGGCATTAGAGAAACACCAAATGCCATATTTTACTCCGGTTCAACTAACTTTATTTTGATACTGCCATTTATATTAACTTAAAGCAAAACTGTGCTTTTTAAAAAAAACAGTATTTTGTTATAATTTTCCAGAACTAAACTCTTATTTGAAAAATGTGTAATGTTTAATTACACGCTGGGGTTCTCCTCTGACATGTGGACTTTGGCCGTCAGTTTCCAAAATTGACAAGGGAATCATTCCACTGGAAATACAATAACTCAGCACTCTAAGCTTAAATTTGACAAGTTGAGTGACTTTCCTCTTTTGCTTCAATCAGATTATGGTTGCATGTGCAGTGGCCATGGTAAATAAATGTATATTTGCACTATCTGCTTAATGAGCAAATCTGTGCCCACAGTTTCTGATAACATATGGCATTGGTGTGTAATTGTGCTGTCCTAAGTCTGTGTATGATCCACTCAGACATATTTTCAGTTGTTTCAGTTGTATTTAACCCACTTTGTAGTGTTTCTGAAGTTTATCATAAAAGAAATTCCTTTTCATTGTCAAGTTTCCTGAGTACACATATACAATTCACATTTTTCAGCTTTTCTTCCCTTCCTGTCTCTTGGTTAGACCTACTCATGGAAGCATCGTCTGCACTGTGGTCTTGAAATAAATGAATTTCACTAAGGCTGCTTTTGAGGATAAAATCGTTGGTATTTTTCTTATGTAAGAAGCACATTTGCAAAAACTTGGAGAAAATGACGAACTAATGGTCTAGAATAGAATCACTGCTACATTTTTGATAATGCAATGTCATAAAAACCATCAAAGTAAAACCAACAATTCATTTCTTGCCCCCAGGAAATATTAGGACAAGATTAATGCCAGTGAGTCACTATTGCTTACACAGCATCTCCTCCGGGGAGAATGCCTGACTGACACAGTAATGAAGGACTAAATAGATCCTAATGCAGAAGTCACCCAAGAAAATCGTGCCCTCCTTTTGCTCTGACCTATATAAAATACCTCGCTCATCAGGATATCTTCCTCTGGTTTTCTGCAGAATAGCTCTGCACCTAAATGTATACCCGTCAAGAATGTGTTGTTGTTTTGATTCATTACCCTTTAAACATGTCTCTTTTCACCTTTTGGAAAATTAGACTTCCTTGTAGATTATGAGGTTTGCAGTTAGGCCAAGATGGAACTAGGTGGGATGTCTGCTGATGTGAAGATCTGGAAGGGTCATTAAGATCTGTTTGTCCAACCCTCTTATATTTATACAAGAGGAAACATGCCCAAGGTGGGGAAGGCTCTTGCCTAAGCTCACACAGAAAGTGAAGCAGCTGAACATCCATGTGGCCCATGTTCTTTCTATATAATATCATTCGCCACTGAACTGCCTGGGGCATGTTATCTGCTGGACCTTCTGACTTACCACCACTATTACTTTGGAAAGTGCTAGAAATCATGGATGCTATTTCTTTGGAAGCCTCACGATCGCATGTTTTCTAGCAGCCCCACTAGGAAGGATGCAGTTACAGAATTCACACATGCTTTTGGACATGTGTCAAAATGCTGCTTTTACCAAATGAATGTTTTCTAAAATGAGGATGGAATGATAATTACAGAATGGAACCCAGACTAGGCATCCATTACGGTGAAACTTTGTTTATAATATTACCAACTGGTTGCATTTTTGTTTTTCGTTTTTTCCCCCTCTACCAGTTCTGGTGTTTGTTCCTACCCTCTCCACTGTGATGAACCACATGGAAAATATTTAAGCCAATTAGTGTTTTTCCCTTTTTTTCTAACATGCATGTGCCACCTCCTGGAAGCCATTTCCATAGCCTGTTGTAAGCACTTTACTTGCATTGCACACTTTCTGGTTAAGTTGGTAGTGGCTAGACTGTTGATGTTTGTCATCTATAAGCTCTGGGGCTGTAAAAGTAGGTGTTTATTCAGTTTCTTGTACAAGCATTTTGCTGCTGAGTTTCATTCCATGCCAACTTTCCACATACTCAGGTCCCGACTGTTAATGAAACGCCATTGTAGAAGGCATAGTAATAGCAATAGGCCAAATCCATGCATTTGAGGTTTGCCCTATCAGAGGATCATTGTGAAGGCATGGAAAAGAATTTATGCTGCATTCCTGGAACTTCCTGGGACTTCCCTTAGGTATCACTAGCACAGCCTGGAGAAAAACAAGTAAGTGAAATAAACACACACACACCCCCCCCACCCCCATCAGCCAGCTCCTACTTACTTCCCACCCTCACCCCAGCCGCTCCCCCACTAATGCTGTGTCTACATAATCGAAGTCAGGGGAATTGAGAAAAGAGATAGCAAAATAAATCATCTGAGGTCCAGTAAACACTTTCATGAGAGGTAATTCAGGAAGATCTAGTGTTCATTTTGCAAGAGTTTCCCAGATAATTGTCTGTTCTCTCTACTCTGCTGCCCTTCCAGTACACAGATATTGATAAAGTGATTAGGTTTTTACGTTTTATGTTTTTAGCTTCAAAACATGGGACATGGGGATTTGAAAAGGCATTTCTTCAGCATCATCATTTTGTGTGGTCTGTGAGAAGGTGGTCATATGTTTTTCCTGGTTTTTGTCCTGCGACATTCAACTGCACATTGTTCTGGTGAAAATCCACAATGTCTTTAAGCTTCTGGTTGTATAAGTCTAGGGTTTAAAGTCACCATTTGTGGGTTTGGCATCAGTTAATATTTAGCCAGGTGGCTAAGAGATAGGAAAAGAATAAGATTTTCTTTCCTTATGTAATAATGAAAAGCAATAATTACAAGTATATACTATTACACAAAGGCCATAATAAGTCTCTTCCAATGTTTAGGATGCACTAGAGAATCATACAGTCATTTGGAGTGTGTTTGGACCCATGAGTGTATATTGTAGTACCCTTCCAGCAAACAAATACCTGAATTGCTACTATTTAACAATTTTATGAGCCCATACTACTGCATTTCGGGAAGTGACAAGTGTGTTGGAAAATGGAAGCAGTTCTTTTTAAGCACTGTACCAGAGAGATTGTCTTGTATATTTACCTGTTGCAAACAGGCTGGTTTGTAAAAGATGTATGTTTTGGTGTTTAAAATGTTTATAAAATTGTATATAATGGTTTCGATTTTCCAAGCTTTTGTAGATACTGTATTTGATGCCTATCAGGATGCTTTAATTTGGGGGTTCGAATACAATTCTAAGTCATCCATGCTGTTGGTCTGCAAACTTTTGAGGTAACTATACACACCTACAAAAAGGATTTTAGATTTGAAAATGGTGTTTTCTAATCATTTCAAAATGTACTGTAAACTTTCTTTGGTTCTACTGTTTTCACTTAACTTTCTCTGTTTTCAAGAAAATGTTTTTTATTGACATTTTTTAAATGAGTGTGTTTTGCCCAGTTACTAAGCACCTGATATCTATGCCATTTCAGATTCAGAATGAAATATATCATTTTTTCACACACATGTGTAATCACTGAAACTTGCGCGCACATCATGCACCAAACCTTATGCAAAGGGGAAAGCTAACACTTAAAGTGAATCTTGTCCCTTATTGAAATGGATTGTTTCTGCATATATTGCTGTCGGCAGTATTACTCTGGTGTTCTTTTTCTAAAAAAAAGAAAGAAAAACAAAAATAACAAAAAAAGACAGCCAAAAACAAAAACTCAACAGTGTTTATAACTTACAAAATTTGGTGGTTAAAAATAAGTTTTCAAGTAAAAAGAAAAAAACAAAACTAGCAATTGTGTTG